TTTACTGTTTAAAATCGTTCTTTTCCAAAGGGACTTTTGACAGGCAACCTTTTTCAATTTCTTTCCATCTTCGTTTACTGGAGTAATCATCTAAGTCTTTATATGTCAAAAAAAAAAAGTTTATCATTATACTTTTTCAACATCACTTGTGTATTACACGGAGTTATCTGTGGAGACAGATCAATAGGATACGTATAAATACACAAGAGGGGACTTACCGAGGAAATTACATGATTACGGTGGTGGATAAGTCCCGCGACAGGCTGATCTGTTAGCTGGAGCCTCTCTCAGAGACAGGGAAGCCAATGATGTAACTCACAGTCTGAAGCCAAAAGCCTGAGGGTGGGGGAGTGGGGAGTGCTGGTGTGAATCCTGGAATCTGAAGAAAGGTGAGCCTGAAGTTTTGTTGTTCGAGGCAGTAGACGTCTACCTTGCACTCTGTCGAAAGAGACCATCCGTCTTCTACGTTCTCTCTGGGCACCTGGTTGCTTGAACCCACTTAGTCTACCCACTTGTATGTTAACCTCTTCTGGAAGCACACCCACAAACACACCCAGAACCATATTTTATTAGGTTTCTAGGTATACCTTAGTCCATTAAGTTGACACCCAAAACTAACATCACGACTTGCATTCATTTTATGAAATTCTTGATCTTTTACAAGATCAGTACTGCAATATGGAAAGAATGTCTATTGGCTTGACATTGCATTTCAGGTGTTCACAGGTTGATGAATTAACAAGAGACTAGCTGACAAAGATGTTGATACATGGGACCCCGCTAATATTATGCAGTAAGGAATATTTAAATGGGGCCTAATTTCTTTTTTTTTCTTTTGAGAAGTTTTGCTATAGGGCACATGCGCTCGCCAGAAAGACAAAGTGAGACAGAGAGACAGAAAGTAAGAAATCACCCCCCAGAGGGGATGGCCAAGCCACCGTCACTTCTCCTGCATTCTCTTCTCGGGATCTCGGACATGCATGCACACATGCCTGGCGTGAGTTTAAGCCACCGGGTCCGGGACTTTAACCATGGTCGGCTACACGGGAATCCAGCGACATAGCCATTACGCCAACTGCTAGTCCCAGGGCCTAATTTTTTACCTTGTCAATTCATTGGTGAGTGTTTTCATAACCCATGACTTTGATTCTTTGTCCAACCTGGTAATTGCAAACACCAGATAATACATACTTCGGACGACAAGCATCACTTCACCTACCACTTTGCTGTTTTTCCTTTTTTGTCTGAGAACTTCCCCACAGGACTTTTATCCTATCTTCCTCTTCTTTTTTCCTACTGCCTAGAGTTCTGTAGCTCCCTGGCCATTATATTGGGGTTGTTGGTCAAATAATGACACATTTGTGTGCAGAAAAACATAGAAGAAAAGTGTCATGACTTTTCCAACAACCTGATTCTACATGGCAAGAATCCAAAAGTTGGTGTCACAGAGATGACCCTTACACACATCTTTAGAGTCTGCTTGGGCCTGTCTCAGCTTTAACACATGAAACTTCTCAGGACATTTAAGGTTTATAATTTTGGTCAGAACTGCAGTTCCAAGTCAAATAAGTGCTTTTAAGGGCAAATAATATGGGTCTTAGTAAACTTTTAGAATCACATGGTAAGATCAAAGCTTTTCTTCTGGGTCTCAACAACAGAACAATCCATGTTGGAATCTTAACCTTTCGGGAGGATATGAGCACAGTCTGTAAATTAGGAAAAGAAAATACTATTGCAGATGTATGTTCAGATAGCTTTCTATCTACGTAGGCATGTTTAATACTTCTAAAATTTTTATTTTAAATTTTAAAAACTGAGCTTTCATGCTAAGAATGAAGTATTTTCTGGCCACAAGGACTCCAGATCATTACCAGAAAGTGAATTGAGCAATATTTTCACTTTCTAATTTAAAACTATGACTCTTTAATAAACTATTATCTAAAACTCTTTCACTATTGGATAGCCTTTTCTTGAAATGTTTGCAAAATAAACAATCTCTTTTTTCCCCTCTTCACTGTTTTAAGTACATTTTTATTGGGTTGAGGGTGTAAGTTTCAGAATATAATGTGGTTTGCCAAATTCTGTAATCCCTTTTTTATTTTTTTTAATGTCATGCAGGGTGTGGTGCCTTTGGAGAATATTTTTTTAAGTTGTAGTTCATAATGTTTTTTTCCTTCACGTTCTCAGAAATGGTGAAATAATCTAAACCTTGCAGGGAAATTTTGGTTCCTAGCATCAGTTCCTGGGGTCCCCACTGCTGAAAGTCAGATCATTTCCTGTGGCCACTTTTACTTCTTCCCTTGCCAGATGTGTTTATGTTCTTAACATTATAAGCTCATTATTGAAAATGAAGTCTTGATAAATACCACTTTAATGCTTTTTTTTCCCCCTTAGGAAGGTGAAAATAACTTGGAAGGAACAGCATAAACGCCGCACCAAAATGAAGTTGTATCTCCCATGGGTAGTGTGGTTATTGAAAATCTCAATGAATCCATTCTGTTCTTGTTATCCTTTTATTAATCCCTGATTATTGAGAAGTACTTAACAAAATAAGGTTTAATATTTTCTTTAATTAAATAAAGGAAAGCCATGAACTTCACAAAGTTGGAATTGTCCTTCTTAGAAAAGCAAATTCTTGGGTTGGGCAGGTGGCCTGGTGGTTAAGGGTTCCACATGGCCGACCACCCTTGAGACCCCGGCCTGGCGGCTTGCTTTCTCACTTTCCCTCTGTGTGTGTGTGTGTGTGTGTGTGTGTGTGTGTATGTGTGTGTGTGTCTGGTCAAATTAAAATAAATAAATAAAGTTAAATAAAATAATTCTTTTTTTAAAAAAAATTCTCTGTACATCTTAACTTTTCAGTACTAGGGAGAAAAGCTGTTGGAAAAGAGCTTCTAAGACCAAAGAGACGCCAGCAGAGTTAGTCCGATTTTCAGAACATGACATATGACGGTGAGATCGGATGATCTGGGTTCTGCTCTCGTTTATCTAACACATAATGACAACTCACTCACAAACCGTTTGCCTGAAAACGCTGGTCTCAAACCCGTTGCAGAAACCATCGCCCCAGTCACTCTCCGGCTCCAGCACAAGCAGAGACGAATCTGAGATTCTGTGCGTGCTTAAAGGACAAGAATAAGAGGAGTTAAATTGTGATACGATCCCTCTTCTACTTTCCCAAGGTCTGGGTGTTTGAGGTGGAGACACACACACGCACAAAGGAAGGAGAAGGAGGAGGAGGAGGAAGCCCAGGTTTCCAGCAGGCAGCAGTCGCTAACACCTATGTAAAACCAACTGGGGGAAACCCAGACGCCCAAGCAAACCCAGACGCCCTCCCTGGAATCTCCTGTGGACCGGGGAGCCAGGGGCCGCTTGGGTACCACTGGGCAAGGGTGTCCCCTTCCCGATCTCGCACAGTCCCTACCGGCAGGATGTGAGAGGGCCCCAGGTCCCGGGGTGCAGGGAGGGGACGCGCGCCCGCCCCAGGAGAGGAGGCGGCTCTGGCCTCGGGGGCGCCCCCCCCGCCGG